TCTGAGCTCCTTCAGAGTGAAGATGTCAAAGAGAAATTCCTTCTGTCCTTCCCTGCTGATCAACCTCCTTCAAGCTAATGAGCCCACAGCATTTTTCTGAAAGAAAGCCCATAGCACCTTGATATACATCTGAAGGAGTATGAGAGCTCTTGTGGCTGCTGTTTACCTACACATCTGCCATTCAATCCACATCAAAACCAAAGCTGTGAAGCACACTGGAATATCCCATATATGAGAAGTATTCTAGGAAACCAGTTTCTATTCTGATTCAAACATAATCACATTGAAATGTTATTACAAGTGTGCTTGCTGCTGCTAACATCTTCACTGTTTTTTAAAAGAGAATTAATTAATGCTCTGTTGCTTTTCATCTGCATTAAAGTGACAGGAGGGTTATGGGAGGGTGATTGGTTTTGACAAGAAGTCTGTATGCTTTTTACCATGCAATGCAGGGGAGGAAGACACACAGTGGGAGCTAATCTCACTTCCCTTGCCTGCATTTAAACACAAGGTTTCAATGCATTTAAGTGATTAAAGCATTTAACAATCCTTCCCAGAGGGTTCTTCTTGCTGTTTGCATGAGTTTGCCAAATTTAAAGCTATTGCAAGTTATAAAAATGCTGCTTCCTAATATCTCCTAGCCACTGCAGGCAATGGTCTCATGACACCATCTCTGAGACAAGAAAACATACTCAGATCCATTGCACACGCACAGTCAGGGGAGAAACTCCTGCAAGCTAAAATGCTGTAATGGAAAGAAAGGGGGAATTCCTTTATCATTATTCTATGTAAAATACTTCCAATATATATTAGACTTGTATACTGAAGGAACATCTAGGAACCCCACTCACTGATGAGAGACCCACTGTGATACAGAGCTGTGCCAGCTCATCAGAAAGAGAGGTCTCCTCCAAGGAACTTACGTTTGAATTCTAAGGCAGGGAACAACAGATGGAGACAAACAGGCAGTTGGAAAGGAAGACATCACTGTCTACATCCTTGGCCCTTATCTCAGCAGAGTGGATGCCAAGCTAAAAAGTTCTGACCTGAAGAAAAACTTCCTCCAAGTCTGTGGATATGGAAGAGTGCTTCTGGGCTTAAACTCTTGTAAAATTTCAAACTTCCCTGTCCAAAAAAGGAACAGCCTCAAATCATTCTGTGCACTAGTTTGACCCACACCTTTGATGAATCTTCATACAGAGGAATGAAGCCTCTAGTCTGAGCTTTAAACCTGCTATACAATGTCAAGATAGGGGCATTTCTTCACCAAATGACTCAAGCTGGGAGTGCAAATAGCACTGGTAGAATCATTATCTGTGTCAGTAGTAGCAGCCACACTACAGCAGTCTCCAGGGACCTTGACAAGGCCAACATATCACTATGCTACATGCATGGTGCATGAATAGGCCCTTGGCAGCCAAAAGATTACAGCCTAAATACATCAACGAGACAATTACCTCTGTTCTACAGGTGGTGAAGTGAGATAATGTAAATGATGTGACAGACACCTTACCACAAGACCTTCTAGAAAAGTGAAGAAGGAATCAGATTAGTTTTCCCTTGTTCACTTTTTAACACTCTTTAGATACAGTAGTCCATCAACAGCACACATTAGACCGAAGAAAAACAAAAACCAGAGAGCAGAAAAGGAGATTCTGAGAATACATGTAATTTCAGTTGCATTTTATTCAGGGATAGGCATTTCAGGCTATGTGGACGCTCAATGTTGAACTCAAGTCATTCTACCCTGGGATCAAATATCAACACTGGGACAATAACATCTTCATTGGAATACCTTATTCCACAATATCTGCTCTGATCCACCTTCCTCCACACACAAAGTTTTGATAATGCTTGTTCATCAGCAGCAGTTAGGATCATCTTTTGCAGTCTACTGAAATAAAAACATGGATTCTTTTCTTTTAAAGCATGTAACAGGCCCAGTAAGAAGAGTGGTCAAGGATGTCCCACTAGCTATACTTATAGCTATGTAATACATGGTGAGAATGGCTGACATTCCAATAAGGCATAACAAAGTCTTCTTTCCATAAATAGGTAATGCCTATTTCTTAAGGTAGGAAAGGGTCAGTAACAATAATTCTGAGTACCCTCCTCTCCATTAATCCTTTAAAGCTCTAACAGTGAGGTGGAATCATGACAGTTAAACATGAATGCTAGTTCTGCTTTTGTTGATCACTTTAACAGATGGGCTGGGGAAGGTGTGGGTGTGCTGTGAACTGGCAATTACTGCAGAGAGGGAAATGCAGTTGGATGAAAAGGAAAAGAGATACAAATCAAAAAAAAGGAACAAAGCAGAGAGGGGAAGGGAAAAATGAAAGAAAAAAATTCTAGTGACCATATTTTTCTACTGAATTCACCAAGATGTGGAGCAAATGATCAGTAACAGCTACTTATTGTACCTAAGTCACAATTTCACTCAGATCTTTGTATAAATATCAAATTTATTCAAGCGAGATATTTCCTAGGAATACAGGCTTCAAAAACCCCTGTGTTTATACCCTTTTTTACAGGACACAGCTAAAATAGAATCCAGATCTCTCCTCAAAATGAACCATACATCCTCAGCTCTTGTGTGGTAAACAAAGAGCTCCCTTCTGCCTGTCAATCTAAGCAACCAGCTCACTAAGAGTATCCACGTGTAACGGCAGCAGGGACAGCAAACTGAGAGACATTAAAATAATCAAACTAAGATTGCAGACATTCACAAAGAGCTATCCTTTCCTTGTTAATAACTATCTGATCTGGGTTTTTTACCTCCCCAAGGAAATAAGAGCTTAATTTTGATCTAGAAAAGGAAGGTGGGGGGTTGTCACTCTGGGACCTTGATTTACCTTAACAGTTTTCTCTCTTATGCATGTGCATTCTCTGCTGTATTGCACAATTCAAAACAGTTAGGGACTATGAGCTATGGAAAAACTGAAAAACTTAGTCATTAGAATTTGAAAAAGAAGATCTAACATCTGATTATCTGCTCCCAGGCACACTCAAACCATCAGCATCAAGATCTTTGAGAGAAAAAAAACACCACCACCACAACAGAAAAACTGTGATGTTTACATTATGTAAAGGAAACAAAGCTAGAGATGGACTTTGTGATTTTCTTGGTCATAAAGAACAGCTGTCTCATGCCTCAGGGGATAGCCCTAAGCTCTGCTGTATTCATTCCATGACAATACTTGGAAAAATCACAGAATCATAGAATGGTTAAGGCTGAAACCTTAAAGGTCACCAGGTTCCAACCTCCCTGCTATAAGCAGGGTCACCTCACACTAGACCAAGCTGCACAAGCCTCATCCAACCTGGCCTTAAATACCTCCAGGGAGGGGACTTCCACAACCTCCCTAGGCAACCTGTTTCAGCACCTAACTACCCTCATGGTGAAGAATTTCTTCCTGATGTCTAACCTAAATCTCCCATCTTTCAGTTTAAAACCATTGCCCCTTGTCCTATCACTACCCTCTCTGGTAAAAAAAACCCTCCCCAGCTGTCCTGTAGCCACTCCAGGTAATGCAAGGTCTCCCCAGAGCTTTCTCTTTGCCAGGCTGAACAGCCCCAACTCCCTCAGCCTGTCTTCACAGCAGAGGTGCTCCAGCCCTCTCTGATCATCTTCATGGCCCTTCTTTGGACCCTCTCCAACAGCTCCATATTCTTACTTTCTTAAAAATCGTTTTTAAAAGCCTTTTAAAGTGCCTAACATTTTCTTTTTCCAATCAGTGCTCCTTATGTACTGCAAATGTGATTGGCTACTGGGTTTGCAAAAGCAGCAATACCAGTCATAAAATAGCATGAAAACTTTCACCTACATCACCAAATAGAGCATGATGAGTTTTCATAATGAATGAAAGCAAGACCCAGCTGCAGCTGGCAGGTAATACTGTAAAGAGAGTCATGAAGGGAGTTTCAGTTCACTTCTTAGCAGACAGGTGTCTGTATCCCAGAAGCACCACCACAGCTGGCACAGACTGATGCTGTTGTTAGCAATCTCAGCAGAGAGGCCAAGCAGTGATCTGAGAATTTATTTATAAATATTTTAGCAGTCTGAAGAAGCAGGAGGAGTTTAAAATTTACATTTCTTTGTAAATACTCCTACTCAGAATCTGTGAGCTTAGTAAATGTGTCTAAAATCATCACCACAGCCTGACAATAGGATTTACAAGGGCAATGTACTCATAAAGGCAGAAGCTTCCACCGACAAGCAGGCAACCTTGCTTTCCAAAATTATCTTAATTGCTATTTTAAAAAATTTCCTACATCATTAATACAATGTTAGTGAAGGATACAACCACTACACAGTGCTCACCCTTGCAGGGTCTCTGTTGTAGTGATTGAACGTATCCTAGACGCAAAACTCAGTGACAAATGCCAGGAGCTCAGCATTGTGAGCCAAATCACACCCAGGACCACAGAGCTCAAGATGAAAGAGCAGACTGGAAAACACTTGTTCTGAAGGCTGGTAGAGAGGAACACAGAGCGAATGAAGGACAGAATACAATGCAGCCTGTGTGGCAGGCAGCGAGAAGCCATGACTTTTGTCAGAAATGTAAGAAAAGCATACACTGTTTAATAGCACAGCCTCAAGTAACAGTCCTAACAGTTTTGATCTTCATTTATATCACATGCCCAACAAACTGCTGTACCAGCCAGGACAGCCAGACAACTAAAGTCAACTCCAAAATGTCCCAAAGGGTCAGTAGCATTGTGATGATATTTTGAGGGATTTCTTCTAAATGCCGCTGTTACATATGAAGGAGAATGATGAGGCTAGAGAAGAGACACAAAGGTAATATGCCCTCACGATTCAAAATATAAAGTAACTAACTTCTTCCCAAAGACTCCGCCAACTCCACTCATTCTTTGCTCAGGAGAACACACACAGAAATGGCAGTAAATCAACAAGTTACCTTAGCTATTCAACCGTAACTGCAACAAGGTGACAAATGAAGCCTTGCTCACATGACTCGCAGCAAACGCCTTCTTACCGTGAGACGTTTCGAGGCATCCACTTCAATCATCCCCCGCAAAAGGTTCTGACAGTCTGGGGGGATAAAATGTGGCATGTGGAACACCCCACGTTTCACCTTCTCCAACAGTTGCCGCAAGTTGTCGTCATCAAAAGGCAGGGCACCCTGCAGGGATGCGACAAAGTGGGGATGGGAGAGAAGAGTGAAAGGTAATCAGAGAGGACAAAAGGAAAAAAGCCAGGATAAACATGGTGACAGAACGGGAAAGAAGTCGGCTAATAATTAATTGTTACAATAAGGAAAAAAACCATTTTTATCCATTGAAATGGAATAATTTCTTAGTGCTGCATTTTCTCCAACATACGACACAAAATGGAGGACACATTTTTTTTATTAGACCTTTAATTAGAAAATTATTGCCAGTATAAAGCATAATACAAAATATAAAATTGCCTTTCCAGGCAAATTCACCAAAGATGCATGGATTCACTTAAATTCAGCTCAAGCTTTTGATCTGCTGGTGTTCCTCCTGGGCATACATCCACAGCAGCAATGTTTATCGTCTCCTTATTTTAATATTTCTGAGACACATTTATTACAGACAGAACAGCATTTGAGAGACTTTAAGTAAAGAATATCCTCTTTCTGACAGAGCAGTGAAGTGACACAGCTGAAAGAAACCCTAGCCAATATTAGCCTTTGGAAGCAGCAGCCGTTCTTCCTTTTTAATATACTCCATCCAGTTCCCATGCTGTGGTCAGGTCATCAGTTCATATTGCTTCCCTACTGTACCTGACATGAACGGCTTGAGGTTTTTTTAGCTGAAATTGCATTTTTAATAGATCATCAGCTTGCCACAAAAAGCAGCAAAAGACCTATCCTTGCCACGAGGACAAAAAGGAAAAGAAGTTGAAATCTTTAAGATAACTTCACCGAGTGAAGCTAGCTGATACCCTTTTATAGCAAGTCTGCACCTTCCTAGATATTCTCACTTCCTTCTTTCACTGCCTAGTTCTAGTAGGTGCCGAGCTTCCTTGATTTCCAGGGTAGTTTGTGGGAAGCTGCAAGCTGTCAGCTGCTGTGATAATGAAGCTTTAAGTCGTCAATTCTGGCACTGCTCTTACTATAGTGAGTAGTGCATCTGTACAAGCAATCCTGTGTCTGTGGTCTACAGAGATCAACAAGCTTCATTTGCAGAAGGCTAAGAAAGTCAACTTGGGCTATTGGGTACTATTTACTGTTGTTTGTTCATTCTAGCAGGCTTGAAGTGAGAGCCTCCCTGTCTTCTGTAACTGATCTCCCAGGTTATCCACTTTTTTCCTAACCATTCTAGACTTAAAGGAAAATCAATTCTGATAGTTCAGTGCTTTGGCTAACGCAATTTAAGCCATGATGAAGTCAGCAAGTTTGCTTAGTGTCATTTCCTGAAGGTAACAACTGCAATTCTTTTATTACTACCACCTGCTACTATAGCTTGAGACTTGTAGGGCTTGTCCTGAAATAATTAACTGGAGAGTTCTGCACTCTCTGTCAGTAATATATCTGTTTCAATCATTTTGCAGGTTTGTGTATATATGTAGAGATGGATGAAGATGTAGCAACAGAAAGACACAAAATCTTGACACAGAATAGGCCTGAAAATGAAAAGCCTACCCCTACAAGTCCTAACCATCTTGACACATTCTCTTTTCCCTTTTTACATATTCAAGAAGTCACATTAGGAACTTGTTACACAGATCTGTTTTATCAGCCATAGCTGATAAAAGCTGCTCAGGAGTAACATATGACCAGGTGCTATCTAAGTGAGATATTTAAAATTCTTCCTTTGCAACATCAAGATTTAAAAAGCCTAAAAATTAAAAAAATGTCAGTGAATTGTAATGACTGAAAAGAAAAAAAAAAAAAGGTTAAGATCGGTTAAGGTGAATTCAAACATCATACTGAGATTTCTTCAAGGCATTTTGATTTGGGTAATTAAAATAATTAGCAGCACGTTTATTGAAACAAAAAGCCTTTAAAATTTTCAAGCATTCAAAACAAAACTAATATGCAGAATTTAACTCTGGTTGTACATTGTACAAGTACTGTTGTCAAAATAAAACATTTGGGTGAAGTAATTAGTTTTACTAATAAATGTACAGGGAAATGAAAATTTTACTTCAGGCTTTTTATTTTTATAATTGTAGATGATCAGCTGAATTATTACAGACACAAATAACACGCACAAAACGTCTGCTCTCATATCCAGTATTTAGTATGCACATATTATATGCCTATATGAACATAAGCTGCATTATCCTACATTATACTATGGCGATTGAGAACAAATGCCAAGCCTGTCTGTCTCCAGCTGGACATCCAATTGTTATATGTAGAGTTTTAAATTACCACTGCAAATCAGAATAAATTCTGCAGAGAGTTGAAACTTTGATCAAAAGAAGGGTAAGTTGCAAAATACCACATTTTGAGCACTAAAGAAAGTACTGCTGAGCCAGATGGTAACTAATTTAAACTTTGTACCACTGGCTCAGTTTTATATTCCCAAGTGTATAAAATTAAAATGTCTCTCAATACTTGCAGGAAACAAAACTGCTGCACACTCATCTTCTCTTGATCAAACAGTGCAGGTCATGTATACACACACCTACTAAACCACATATATCCATACAGCAGAAAAAACAAACTCTTCCCAAATCCAGTCATATTTTGATCCTGTGAAGGACAACTTATTTGACACTGTCTGTAACCTGGAGCTGTAAGCCTGCACATCCTTTCCAGTCAAAAAATTTGCTGCAAAATTACAACACAACAAAGAGCATTCATGGAGACAAGTTTTTGATGGTTGTCTGTGCTCTCCTGGGCAGAGCAGGAGCATTTCAAAGAAAAACAGAAATATTCTTTGTGCATTTCCTTTGGGACTGTTGTAGAAATAAGAGGAAAGGATGCAACTGAGAGATACAAAAATAGGACAACTAAAAAAAACCCTGACATCTGTATGTGATGTCAGTAGAATAGCCATTAAATACAGCAGCGTTTTTAGATTTTTCTTTTATTTTTAAAGGATGCAAGGGAGATGACTCACCACTAGCAACGCAAATAAAATGACTCCACAGCTCCAGACGTCTGCTTTTCTTCCATCGTATTTTTCTCCCTGTGCAGCAATGACACAGAGGTTCAAAAGATTGCTCACTAGTAAATGAACTAATTATCCTTGAAGAACAGGAGAGGGGAGAACAGGAAACCCCACATTTCAATTCTGTCACCTGCTTCCCAAGGTGGTCTTCCCAACTAGAAGGCCATGACACAGCCCATGAACTGAATTTTTAAGAGCATCAGTTTACAGTCTTATCTAAGTCCTGCATAAACAGACTCAGAAGTGGGGAACAGTGCAGGAATTTGGCTCTTAGACAGTGTGAGAGGTGCATTAAGGACATCAAAAGCGTGCTTTTCTCTTCCCTGGCTCTTCAGGGAGCTTGTCACCAGTCACATTTGCAAACTCATAATATTGTCTGGACATCTGCATGCTTCCTGGTTGGCTTTTCATTAAAGTTAGGCTTTAAAAGAGGAGAGAAATATTGGATACTTATTTTCAGAGGACAAAGGAAGACCAGAGGGAAAATATAGCTCTTATTGTTTAACTGAAACCAACATCACTGATAGCCAAGCCTTCTTCTACTGAAATGACAGCTACATCAGAGACAGGAAAGTGTAGGGGACTGCACCCCTGGGTGGAAAGATCAAGTTAAATAAGGCTATTGTATTTCTGTCAGAACACATGGCATGAAGGGTACTGTGAAAGTAACATATGATAATTTTCCTCATATGGTCAATGTGTCTTGACTTGGGGCTGAACCACACAAATAAAATGGTAGATAGGTTCCTTGTTTCCTTTGCAGTGTTGTCTGCAATGGGCAGATTTCCTGTGCAGAGGGTCTATCTTTGTACTTGCAACAACTGACAGTTAAAAAAATATCAGTATACACACTAATGCTAACCAACTTACCCGGATGACTTCAGGGCAAGCATAATGTGGTGATCTGAAACAAAAAATACAGTCAAATAGGCATGTAATTGCTTGGTATTTATGTGTTACGTGATTTCCATTTTGTTCAGCAGAATCATGCTTGGCTCGCATATAGAATGTGAGTGTGCAACAGCAGCACTTTTTTCCTTACCCCAATGAGAACGTATTTCAAAGAGAAAATGGTCAAGAACTAGTATAAATAATCATTCTCTAGCCCTACTACGAATTTTTTAAAAGCGAGGAAGGAAGAGAAGACCAGGCATATTCTGTGACTAAATACTCTGTAACTTAACTCTGTATCTCATTAGAAGGAAGGTCCCCACTGGATAGTCTTGCATAAGAGAAAAGAGAGCAGTATTTTTAGACCAAAGACATGCATCCATAAACCATATTTTGCATCTTTTCTGCTAAGATTGCTCTCAGTTACTCCAGTGGTCATAAAAAGCTGCTGATGCATGACTCCAACATGAAATTATTTTTTCTTAAAAAAAAAACTAAAAAGGATGGACAGTAGCACTGTTACCTAGTGAGTTAATATCTTCTTTTCACATCCTTCTACCCATGTATCTTTGGTTTGATTCCAGACTGACAATAGTTAATTACTTCAACTTGCCAGGTAATAATTTTAATTCCTAAATATTATAGCCACAGCTATTTATTTTATAGCCTTCATTAAAGCAACTTGACAAGTAAAAGGGATGCTAACTGCCTGAGACCTGTGTGCAAATCATGCTATTGTTTATACCGACACCTCCCAGCAGTCCCTGAACCTGTCTTCATTTGTGCATTTGTTTATTGTGACAAGTGCAATCATGGCTGGGCAATACCTGTCCCACAAAGTAATGAGCAGAACAGAAGCACAGTAAGGTTAGCTTTGTGCTAGGATGCTACATTAATGCCCAGTGAGACAGCTCATTAATTGAATTTCCATACACAGTACACTTACAGCCAAATAACATCCTGTGGGCATGGAACAACCTGACTTGGTATCACAGCTTTTGGCAGACCATGATAATAGACTCAAGGTACACTTGGGACTGCAGCTACCTTGGCAGCAAAGCTTAAGCAAAGAGAGAGAAATGCAGCTGATACCTCCCAAATTTTAAGAATGGTGGAATTCAGAAGTTTTGTACAATTTTTAATATCCCTCTGCTCCCTCACTGTGAAGAGGTTATGACAGGTCTGTCTGCCCAGTAGTGATCCAAATGCCTTAATTTAGACTGGGTTTTACAAACCTTCATTTGAGAGTCAAAAGAGATAATGAAAACCAGAGCCTTTCCTCAGAAAGACAGCCAGAGTTGGCCCTTGGAAGACCAAAAAGAATGGATTTATGCCTAGTGGGTAGGACAGACTACTTGAGGTCTCTTGATAGCTCTGTCACTAGCAGCCATATGGACATGGACAAGGTTACTTAAAATGTTTAAAGCACCAGATGGCCACAGTTTAAAAAAGGTGACCAGAACCACTGAAACAAGAGCAATGCCACCACAGCATTCACACCTCACATACGTTTGTATGGCTGAATTCACTGGGATTTGTGTGAGGCTTTAATGTTTTAGGGCAAAAGCTTCTACAGTAACAAAAGGCATGATGGCAATAACAAAGAAGTAAAGCTAACACAGTCAGTGACGTTAATAAAACTGTTTCTTCTTGACTAAGTGGGGGGGTAATTTGGGGGACTTGCAACTTTTTGTTGGTTACTGCTGCAAAAAAAGAAAGGCCAGAGTGAGACACTGAATTGCTTAATGTCATTTACTTGCTTCCAGCCCTCCAACATATATTATTCTCTGTGAATGTGCTTCTTTATAGCAATCCAACATCTTTCCTTTTTAATACCCAAAAGTTTTAAACACTAACAGTCATTTTACTGGACTAATTCCAGATTTACAAGCTTTTAGAAGACAAGTTAAATTATTCTCATAAGAACGCGTGACTAGTAGTCGTGTCTTTTTTCGTATCATACAAATGGTGCATCCATCCCTACAGTACACACAAATCAGAATTAAGGAGCAGCACCAGAACTGGGACTGCAACCAGGAAGCCAGCTATCACCAGTGCCAGATAGTTTAGACAGACCAGTGAAAGAGGTCAGTATGGAAGCTGTAGGGAAGGTAGTAATGCAACTATAATTTGAAAAAAAACATGGTAGCAACAAGAGTGTAGGAATTATACCTGATCATGGATGTTCACTCAGTTTAGTCACCTCAGAATAGAAAGACCAGTTCTAGCATGTTCTATATAACTGGGCCACATGAGGTTTATTGGAAAACTTATCAGGGGGTATGCAAGGAGTGAAGACACAATCAAGGTAACTGTTGCAATCCTGCCATTTAGCATGTTTGAGTTTCTCAGTCTTCCATGATTCTGTCAGGTACGATGCTACCATTGCTGTTCCTACAGAAAGCAAACTATGAAGATATTACATGGCTACTACAGGTGGTGTCTGTGGCTGAGCTAGAAAATTAAGCTAGACCTCTCAAATCCTGCACTGTACCCTGTACAGTTAGTTCAGCATCATCCTTGCACACAATACTTTCTGGGTGATCATGCCATCTGAAGTGCACTGGAAGAATCAGCATTTTTTGCAGAGAGCTTCTGAATTTTTATTTGTATACAATGATTCCAACAAAGATCTTGAAACTCTTAATTGTGGATGCTGAGCAATGCAACCTCCTTGATGGCTTCCTGTGCTAACATCCCTAAAAAGAATAATGTAGGTGTTGTGAAGAACACAAGGTAAGTGCATATCTATTTATGTGTCCCAGTAGCAAATGCACTTAAAGCATTTACTTCTCTGAGGTCAGCTGGGGTGTAGTGAAATCTGCGAGGTGTCTTACAAGGCACAACTGAAATTCTGCTAAAATCTAGGAGAATCAGTAGAGAAAAAGTTGTATCCAATAGCCACACTGCAACTGCCCAGGGAGCACATGTTTCTGGCATAGCCATTCTGAATTCTTGCCAGCACATACTAGCTAGGTATCTTGGCTAACAGCTCTAAAAGAGATTCTCCACCCAGCCAGAATCTGTACAATTTCATGCTGCCAACCACAGAGCAACTTCAACTGCTTTAAAGAAAAAACACAAGTTTAATTAAAAATATAAATCTATTTATCTTTCTACACAGTCATGAATATTTCTTTGGCTCTTATCACTAATTATTTGATATATGTGTATCAAGAGCAATATTCCCTGCCTCTTCCCCTAGTCCATCTTCTCATGGTTCAGCTACATCTCTGTGCAGAAGCCAGAATCTGCCCTTAATAACAAATATATCACTCCACAAGATCAAAAAGCAATTGCTGCATGTGGGTACTCCTGCAAAAATAAACCCCACTGATGTTAGCAGTGTTTATGTCAAGGGTAATACGGATTTTCCCAGGCTAGTCTGCCTGGAGCCAGAAAGGCTCTCTGAATGGTCACAGCTATTACTCTAGGACACAGTAATCTTAAGGATCTCAGGGTACCTTAGCAAACCATCATGTGGGATTTCAACCAGAGAAAATAAACCAGAGTGCAATGGTGATATCCAGGACAGCCCCGGAGAGGTAAGACAGGCATTCAGAAAGAAATGCACATATCCCTCATGCAGCTATACTGAATTTCATCTGTGCACATCAAGATACAGCACAGCTGCAGTAGATCTGAGACAATCAGAGCCAAATCTTCACTGTAGATGTGATATGCCCGTGTTTTACAGGTCTCACTATGTAGGTAAGAGAGACCTGCACTATGCACACGCAAATCAGCTGCCCATCTATGGTTGATCTGGCAATAGAGGGTAACTGCTTTTCCCCAGGAACAGTTGGTTGCTCCAGAAGCAAAGGGGAAGCTGTGTTATCCTATTCCATAGTGTGACAAATCATGTGTTACACAGCCCGATGGGTTCCCAGGTCCCATCAAGGATGAGTGTCCATGCCTGGATTCTTTAGTCCCTTGCCTTAAGACGGTACTATTGGGGGAAGAAGAAAAGCTTATTTGAGTGCCATTCAGCTGGATGCAGTTTCTGAAGAGGGAGGAACAGTAAGTCTTCTTCCCTCTGCTCTTCTTATGCATGCAGTTACCTTGATACAGGAGTTTGTACAGATACACTGAAGACCTTCCAACATTCCTTGGATGACATAATCCCTTCTTCCCCCCTATTAGTCACCATGTCCAAGCCAGCTTTCAGAGACAGAAGCTCCCAACTAGCACAAAAGGCTGCCTGTGCTTTCCCCTGTGCTGGGTAGCAAAGGGCTAAAATGAAGGGGAAGGCCAGAGGAGTAGCAAAATCAAGTGAATTCTTCAGGAGAAGGACATATGGTAGAGCATCCTGAGTGGAGAAAGTGACAGCCATAGACCACAAAGAAAAGTAACACAGGGAGAGACTGAAGAAATAGTTCTAGTAGCAGTGGGTAGTTAAGGCTGCAGTGAAGGCAGTAGCTGAAGGTAAGGCTGTAATGAAGGTTGTCACTGTAGTTAAAGCTGAATGCTGTTTTGCCATTAAAGCTTCATCTCATTCAGCTTTTTATGAGAAAACTCAGTATCTAGTCCTCAGACATCATACAGATGTTTACTTCTTGGGCACAACAACACTTTTGAGGAATCTGCAAATCAATTCGTAAATTAATCTAGCAGTTCAAATCATTAAGAATTGGAACTTTTAACAGATCTTACTTAAAAAAAACCAAAAAACAAAAATGAAACAAACCTCTGTATTAAAAAATTAAATATTCAGAAGCTAAGGATTGCTAAAATAAAGCTTGAAGAGGTTATACTGTACTCTGCAGGTAATCATAGTGGGGAGGTGGATGGGTTGCTGTCCCCAACACCTGTTTCACTTGTGGCTGAAGTTGGAAAGTCTGTAGCAATGTGAGGGAAATTTGGTGTCATTAAGGACAACCTTGTGATAGAAGCAGCTGGAGTTGCAGATTCCCCAGTTTTCAAAATCATGGTGCAGTACATACAAAGCTTAGTATTAATGCTTTTTAATAAGGTTGTCTGATAGTTCACTTTAAAATCCTCATTTTAAGTTGCTTATGACTTACCATCAATTTAACAACAACAATTTTTCAAGTTTTTTGTCTGCCTCAATCTGGCTTCATGTTTGCATGTGCATGTATGCTATGAACGGGCTGAAAAATTTCCACTGTCTGATCTAAATTAGATGTTTTTTTCACATAAAAAAGGAATATTTCTAGTGTCCTGTACTGCAAAAGGAAAACTGAAATATTTGTTTGCATTCTCTAGAAAAATTTACTGAAATTGTGACTAGAAAAATGCAGTTTGGATTTACCAGCAGAAACTCTCTAGAGCATCAGGATTAAAATTCTCCTTGCACTGGTAACACTCAAAGAACATTTTTTCTACCTAAAATTGATCCTATGAGCTGCAGTGGCTGGGGTTATCACAAGGTGCCAAACTTGAAAACATGGTGACTGCAAAACCCATGGGAAACAAATGTAGGACTGACAGTAACTGACTGGGATAACCAGGTAGGTGTAACTAGAGTTGGAACCTAATGGAAAAGAGAAAGGGATCTGGGATTTGCAACCAAAGATGGAGCAGAAACCTTACAATAACTGGATGTAGGACACTTGTGTATAATTTAGACAATATGCACTCTATTATAAAGGGAAAGAATACCTGCAGCATCATGTCTTGTCATTAAAATCAGAATGGTTCTTGGACACTGAGGTGTGTGACAACTGAACAAGGCTCTTCTGAATTGTCTGCTCATCATAGGTGTGCTGATACAACAAACTCAGATATGAGGCAGTCAGAAGCTAGATGATCTTTGCCAGCATTTCTAACAAACAAATGGTGCATTGGTCACTAAAAATACTCTGAGCTCAAAAAGTGTCAGTAACCAGTCATAGTGAGAACATATACAGGTTTTTTTGTTTGGGTTTGGTTTTTGGGTTGTTTGGGAGTTTTGTTTGTTTGTTTATTTGTATTTTTTCAATAGATTCATGCAGTCTGTGGGTCTGTGAAGTGTTGCTAGGAACTCCTCTGAGAGCAGAGGAATTAACTGTGCTGGGGTTGGAAGCTGCTATTCTCTTTCACTATGCCACCAAGAGGTGCAAGGCTTTATTCTCACTCTCAATAAATTTTATTATAATAATCAAACTCAGCATCACTCTTCCTACATGTACACAGGTTTCTGGATCAGGCCAGCATTTCCCTATGGGGCCACTGTTCCATACAATCAGTTAATAACTGTGTAATTGTCAACAGTGGTGTCAGTCTCCTTACTGACTGTCTCTGCTGGGATTGGGTCTGGTGCTATACTGAGCTACATTTATATGTCAGCTCTGTCCTAGCTCTTGGTTGGGGCAGAGAGACTTAGAGGCAGGCAGCAGAGGCACTAGCACTGCTACAGGTTCTCATTCACCTGGCAGCTTGCAGTAATCTCCATCCAGTAGGCCTCACTGTTTTGAAGCTGTGATGAGTGAAACAGGGAGAAGTGAAGAGACTGCAAAAATTTACTTTGCCAGGTTTACATAAGGAGCAATGGGGAACAGGAAGGATGTCTACAAACTTCCAAGGATTGTAACTCAACAGTGTCCTCTGTCAATCCTTCATTTTAGCCATAAGCCCTTTTAGTTCAAGAAAAAAGAACAAGTTTCAGGGAATGGCCCGGTTCATCCTACTTTTCAAAGTCCCCTGTAGAAATGACTGCAATTTACGTTCAGAGCAACCTGGGCAGTACAATGACTTGTTAAGACTGAGAAATGAAGCAAAAAAAGGTAACGCATCTTTCCAAGACCACCCTGAATGCCTTCAGCAGAGGCAGAAATCAAGCTCAGATGACCTGGGTCCCAGTCCTGAAGTTCAACCATAAAGCACTCACTCTTCTTGCCTAGTGACAGTTCAGGATGGATTGGACATATCTACTATTCTGAAACACTGTGAGGCAGCATGCCATTGCCTGGATGAGTAAAGAGGAGGAAGAGCCAAAGAGATCTAAAATAACAGAAGCAGCATCCTACCACATCTTCTTCCTTCCTACACACAGATCCTCTTCCTCTCAAGGGTCTAAAGCTGTTTAAAAATAGGCTTATTCCTCTATGCTGTGTATATGCAGAATTTGCACAATATACATTTGCAGCAATGGGGATTCACTGCAATCAGGGCCCAGTATGCAGTCTGCCAGTGACAAAATATGTGAATGAAACAGCAAGTCCATCATTACCTCCCTCTCCTAAACAAAAACAACTGAATTGAGCTTTTATTGTTTTCTCCAGGTAGCCCTCAGTGCTATGGAGAATTAACTAACTATGCAGATCTAAGGATTAGCTCCTACATAACACTGGCTTTAGGTGTGCATTTCAGCATACTTTAGGCTATGTGATTATCTTCATGAGGCCAGTCAAGACTCTGTGGCCACCTAAAGCCTATCCAAACTTTGGACTAAATTTAGCAGTTCATTTGTGATAGCAAATAATTTTTGACTGTACTCTAACCAGTCTGCTGTACTGACAAGTCCGCTGTACTGACACAGTTAGCTGCATCACATAGCTCAATCCCATCTGATCCTCCCACTCTGACAGAAATACCTGGAGACTCCTTGTGTGACTGTCAATGGAAACATTGCAGTTTAATCTCATTATCAGTGTTCACAGCACAGATAAAACCATTCTGGAAATTAACTTCTGGGTGCATGGAGGAGTATCTAATTAAAACTCAGTATCTCAGCTGTGATTCACTCCGGTTTGTTCCTTTTCATGCTGGATGAAGGTACCAACTACATGGGTAGGTAAAACTTGTCTTGAAAAGCTCTGAGGTTGGTTACTGTGTGTGCTCTAAGGGAAAGGGTGTTGTAACTGGATTGCCTTTCTTTGTGAACAGTGTGGCATACTGTTACATATTCTTTCCTTCCTTCCTTCCTCCCTTCACCCTCCAAATCAGAGATCACAAGACACCAGTATCAGCCGTGCTGGGCTCCATGCCAGGAGAATTAATGAAGTGGTGTAATAGCTCACAGAGGCCTAGTGATTGGCACCACACTTAAAATGCATCTGCAAGGCAGGAGATCATAGCATTGCTGCTGTGTTCTGTTTATTACAGGCACATCTCTTCCATTCCATTGATTTCTTTATTAGCTTGTTTTAAGGCTGCAGCATGGGGGCTGGCTCTGCTTGAAGCATGAGGGTTTGAATTCCACCACAGCTTATGGAAAGGAAGTCTCTCTTTATGACTCCAGACCTGGTTGACAGATCTTGGTGCTAACAAGAACAGGAATCCTACTGAGAGGTTCCCAAGGAGTCTGAAAAATCCTACTGGGCAATGTGGGTTGGTTTTTATGTTTTCTCATTTTTTTAATGGAAGGAAGAAAGAAATTTTTATCTAAAGAGTACACAGACTTCGGGTTAACTGCAGGGAGGACTTCATTTTGTAATCTAGAGGGAAGGTTTGAAATCAGATGCAAGCAACACGTGTGCAGACTCGCAGGTCCCCACTTTCCATCTGTGCTGTTAAAAGGTTAAATCTTGACTTGACATGGACAGGAAGGAATGGGTGGGTCTCAGTGTATTCATCAACCAGCATTTGAACACACTCTGCAATTCATTCATTATTCATTACTTGGAAAGCAGAGCTGTACAGCTCATGACTGAGATGCAGTGGCTGGGCTGTGCAGGGAACCAGGACGGCTCCACATCTGCCCTGAATTGCCTTGGCTCAGAGCACAGACTAAAAAAGCATTGACTGTAAGCAGCTGAAGATGGGGCTGGGCTGGAGTAATCAAATTCATGTTACCAAGGGCCAGGTAGAGTAGGTCTGTACCGGAGAGATGGGAACCTGCTAGTACTGTCTGCAACTCCAGTTGCTGAGCTCACTGCTGTAACAAATTCAGATACAGCTAAAAGCTGGTGCAGTGGTTGGTGCCAGGCTGCATCAAGTTGATTCAGCTGCTGCCCTTGCCACAGCTGCCTGGGGCAGCCCCCTCCCTGCACAGCCAATAAAGCACTAAGTCACAGTTACTGGAGGTGCATGGTCCAATGGAGCCTGTAGAGGAGATGGTGGTAAGAGGGCACTGCCCTCAGAGAGCACATTCTGTCCTCAGCAAGGCACCTGTGCTTTTCTCAGCTTATTGCTGGCTTACTTGGAAATTCCTGGAAAGCTCTTGCTGGCAGATGAATTGCCATGGAAATGTTATTGTCCCTGCAACATTCCTCCAAGCAGTCTCCTTTGTATCTGCATTCATGCCCTGCTTGTAATTGCAAAGGACCTTGCTGACTCCCCATCAAGACTGAATGTGAGCTGAAATAAAGTAGTGTGGAGCATGAACAGGAAGAGAGATGCAAGCAGGCAGCCTAGTCCAGACATGCAAATTTCATTTCAGATCCCCTAGATTTGTCTTTTTCTTACTCCCTCTTATTTTTAAAGCCTCTTAAAACAACCAACAATACTGCTTTTAGTTCCCAAAAATTGTATGACCAATGTAAGCAAACACACACCAGCACATAGGGATGAATAAAAACCCAAAAGGTTTTTTTTGTATTGATATGTGACACCTACAGTGGCTTGCTTTTCACTGTGAATCACTTTAAAAACTTTTGTTAGCTATTTTACACATTCCATGCATCATATAAATTTATTCTCTTGCTGGCAAATGACAATGCATGGTGTAAATCTGCAGGTCTTTACTGATACCTGCTATAGACAGCTTCTATGCCTGGGACCTATAACTGATTTTTGCAGTATGTTCTGAGACACTCACCCACAACTGGTTTCTAACAAGCTGTCCCCAACCTGCAGTGATGCCATCCCAAAGTCTGCTATCCGGATGTTGTTCTTTTCATCAAGCAGTAGGTTTTCTGGTTTTAAGTCCCTGTGGCTGTAAAGAGAGGATTAAAATGTGAGTTATATTATCCACAACAGCTTTCTCACTCCAAAACTTGGGTGGTTTGTTTTTTTTTGGTTGTTTTTTTTTTTAATCCAGCATAACATCCAACCCATCATATTTTAATTGATTTAGTTTTTTTCCTGTTCCCAGGCAGGAGAACACACACATCCAAGATTCAGTCTTTGCAATACTCCAGAACGTATCCCAAATGCCTGCTCCTGATGAATGCAAACAACGCTTGAGCCTGCAGTGCCCTGATAGGAAATTAACATCTTCAACTTCCAGTTACACCAACAAAATGTAGGGGAGCGACTGAGGAAAATAGGCAGAAGGAGAATTTCAGCTTGGATTTAGGTCTGATATACTTAATGATAATGCCAGCTCCTTTAGCTAGGAGGCAACATCATCAATATATTCTGTCAGCAACAGGAAACAGATTGAGTGATAGCTAAAGATAAAAAACCTTGGTGTAAGTGTGTTATGGTTTAAGTGACCCTGGCAGGCTATTGACACCTTTAAGAAGAACTAGAGAGAGGACCTGGGAGGGTTGGAACAGAGACAGGTCAGTAGTCTCTTCCACTTCCTGCCATGCTCTGCAAAATACAGCCAGGAGAACCTCAGCCTCTTTTTCTCTTGCACCTTTCTTCCTTGCTGTTGCTTGGAGGTTCTTCAACTTGTCACATGATCTCCAGAATCCAACTTCATCAGGTGCTGTGAGCAGCTGTGGACTCTCCTCCTAAAGCAGCCTTGTTGCAAGGGACTGTCATCCACCTACTCTTGCCATCATCAAGATCGGTTTTGTATGTATCTGTATATGAGTTTATATATCTGTTTTCCCCCCATGTGTTACTCCTTTTTCTGTGTTGCAGTAAATTTGTTCCTGTTTCAATTTCCAACCCTTAAGTCTCTCTTCCTTATTCCCCTTTTTATCTTTCCTTGAAAGGGTGGAGGGGGGGTGGTAATAGGGAGCAATTCTGTTCTCCATTTTGTGGTTCACCCTGATCACTAAACCAGGGCAAAATGCTACTGCAAAAAGGTCCTATTGGGAGTTGTTTACATAGGCATATGGCTTTGAAATAATTCTGGGTAATTAGCTCAGATGGAGAAATCCCTTCAACCCAGCACTACTTATAACTGAGGGGGCCAGCAGTGGAAAGGGAGAGGAGTCCCTCCTTTCCATCAAAGCTCAGTTCTATTACAATTTGGCTACATGGGAAGAGCCAGGCAGCCATGATCTTCAGGATGGCAACTACTGCTTTAAGTCAAAGGTATCATATGTTGACTGATTTATTAATCTCCATTACCCACAACCAACGCCAATGTGTAGCCATGTCTGCTTCTTAGAACTATGGTGCTTTTGTGCAACTATTACATGTACTTGATTTTATATGCAAAGGCAAAAATCTTGCCAAAAAAATTGTGATGACTTGGCTTGTTTTATTTGCAACTCTTGAAGAGTTATTGAGATGAGAGAAGCACTTTAGGCAGACTAAAGAAGCAGCTCTTTTCTTGTTATGAGTAGGCAAAAGGAGTCTTTGATGTCTTGCTAATAAAAGGTGCAAATAGATGCTCTGAGAACACAACACTTGTGAAAAGTGGCCAGCAGACCTGTGCTCGGGTCAGGCAAACAGCAGCCATTTGCAACAACAGTTCACTGAAACTTGTTACCCTGAGCAGAAACTGAGCTCAACAAAAGAATCACCTTTAGGAGAGTCTAGTCCAGTAACACCCACAATGGAAGGCAGCTTTACCTTCATGCCATTTCCTCTTCACTTTTTAAGACATTCCTCTAGCATTCCTCATGCATGCCAGTGTAATTCCATCTCTACACCACTGTAAGGAAGGATTGTCTCTGCCCGCTCAGAGAAACATGAGAAGCATGAGAATGTCTTGGAAATTATCTCCTCTGATCTGAGTACCCGGAATGACCAGTTATAGAGACAACTTGTAAATAATGCAGGTCAATTATATGCAAAACCAAAGCACACTGTAATACTACACAGGGGGACTGTAACAGGTATTTCCAAAGGAGACGTCCAGCAAAACACTGCACACTGAAAGCAGGTACTGGTCATTTACCTTATCACTAGGTCCCAAGATTCCCCCTCACCTTTTTAAAGAGCACACAATTTAATCTCCAATCTTGTATAAACATGATAAACCCTGCATGGTAAAATGTCCTAGTTAACCAAGGGCAAAAAAACCCAGTAGATAATGGAGAAGCATGATTCAAATTAGCACGTTTTCATCTGACAAAGCAAGCGGTGCTTTAACAAATCCATCTTTCTCATAGAAATCGAAGATTTGAGGTAACTGGAGACAGAAGACTTATTAGCCTAATAGTAACTATAAAAGTAGTACTTAACTGACAAAAAAGCAGGAGATGAGTGACAAGGAAACACTAGAGCAGCAGTGAATGACCAGTTAATGGCCACAAAAAGAATCCCTCAATGCTACCAAGGGCAGCAGTTCTGGACAAATGCAAGATTGTAAACATCTGCCAAATCTGAACATGCTCCAGCCCCAGTCCACAGTCCTCAGGCAAGCTAGGAAAGCTTAAGGAACAGAGGACACCTTTGAAAATTCACCCAAATAAAAGAATGAAATATTATTAGCTCTTCACTAAATCCCATTGAGCACAGAGGAGAGCATGGACTCTATTGAAATTTGTTACATTTATTGCTGACTGGGCCCTAAAAATACAAAAACTGTCATATGGCAGTTTTGCATCTCTCTGACCCTTCTCCATCCCTCTTCCAACATGATCCTTAGTGTCTGGTATGGATGGTTAGCATAGGAATTTCATGGCAGCCTGAGTATTTCTTTTGTATTGTAGCAGCACTCCTCTCAGAGATGAGGGCGACAGTGTCATCAGCAGTACTTGCACATTCAAGAGAATTATATACCCCAGTGAAAATTCTCTTCTAACTGGAACATTTCTCTGCTATCCATCTTTGGACCACTTTGAATTCACCAAGGGATCATCCTGGTGATAGATGTCAAGCCAGAAAACTGCACCAGTGTGGCAGAACCAGCATCACTGCCACTGGGAATGAGACTTCCTCTCTGCATTTGCATTTCCCATCTTTGTATTGCTAGCTTTTCAAATGCCAGAAGGAAGGGAGAGAAACATATGGGAATAGGGAAGGCTTGTTATAATTTACATAAGAGCCCAGCATCCTGGACAGCCTCATGCATTCATATTTGTAAGGAATTCTCTTGTGCCAAAATGAAACAAAACAAAACAAAAATCCCACTGTATGTGGTAATTACTTGGCATTCATGGAACATTGCAGAGTAAATGCACTTAATTTTG